TCTTCCTTCCTCTCTGAAATCAATAAAAACATATTTTAAAAAAATAAAGATGAGGAGGGACATTGATACATGGAACAGACTGATGATTTCAGAGGGAATGGAGGGCAGGAGGGCAGGAAGAGATTAACCATGGACACAGACAATAGTTCCATGAAGGGTGCCAGTGGGGGGGAAATATTTTCAACAATAAAGATAAATTAAAATAAAAAATATGAGGAGGTAAAACCAGAGAAGTTAAATGATTTGATGAAGGTCAGAATTTTCAGATGCACAAGAAGCGAGAACTCTGGAACTGTGCTACAATACAGCAGATAATGAGATTGTATCTATTAGCCACACATGAAAATCAATTCCACTGCACAGAGTTAAGACAATAAATAGTGATCTGGCCATTTTAACACAAGAAGTAAAATAGATTTTCATGGATGTCACCAAAACATGATAGGACAGATCTCATTGGTTCAGCACAAAAGTGAAAAGAAAGCTTGTCCCAAAGAAACAGATTTAATTTAAAAGAACGAAAGAAAGATGTCTGTCATCAAGTCAATGCTCAACTGCAGAAAATCCTATGAGATCATATTAGAAAACAGTGCTCCTCAGATTTTCAGTGTATCAGATAAATTTCTAAAACATCTAAGATAATGAGACCAGGTTGCCAACATTTAACTCCTTTGATTGAAAATGTTAAATAATTTTAAAAATTTTAAATGGCAATTAACTTTTACTAACTGCTAGCTATATGTAAAATACTCTTTTGAGCACCTTCTTTCCATTATGTATTAAAGCATCATGGCCACACTACAAGACACATATTACTATTATCTATAACATGTATATTATGATTATCACCCCTGCTTTATAGATAAGGCAACAGAGGGCCAAAGAAGGATAGCAGTTTTCCCAAGTCACATATATAGTTCCGGGCAGAGCCAGAACTCAATCTGAGAAGCCTGGTCTCAGAGCCTGTGTTTTCAATTGCTGACTCTGGTCTAGTACTCTCTGACATTATCATTTCATAAAAGGGAATTTTTCCCTGACCGGTTTGGCTCAGTAGATAGAGCATCGGCTTGCAGACTGAAGGGTCCCGGGTTCAATTCCAGTCAAGGACATGTAGCATGGTTGCAGGCACATCCCCAGTAGAGGGTATGCAGGAGGCAGCTGATCAATGTTTCTCCCTCATCAGTGTTTCTAACTCTCCATCCCTCTCCCTTCCTCTCTGTAAAAAAATCAATAAAATACATTTTAAAAAATAAAATAAAAAAGGATATTTTAGCATAAAACCCAGGCAAGGCATCAGAATAAAAGCTACATCTTAAACTTTAATCTGTTTAGCAGTATTAAAAATTCACTATGTTTCTCCACTTTTGCTCAGATTTTTGTAAGCCTCCACTGCCTGGCAAAGCAGAACTTGATAAGCATAATTATAGAGTTCTTGGGCAAGAATAACATAGGAGCAAAATTCAGACTATCAGGGAAGAAACATATGATGCACCATCTCTTTAGAAAGAGAACAGCACAAGAATTGTAAAATCTTCATACTGAGGTTCTTCAGGTTCCACCAGCTCAATCCTCTTCAAAGTACAGGTTCCCTTCTACACTGTCAGATTCTGCTGGAATGGAGAGGCCATTGGAAAGCCACTATTCATGATTCAACCCTAGACAGATTTATACAGACACTGTTCTTCTCCACTACCTTCCTAATTTCTTCTTCACTAGTTGAGCAAGGTTCCAGAACCATTCCTATTCTACGTGTTATCTCTTGAGCACAGTCCATTTTATGTTCTCTTTCTTAAAATGCAGGAATAGAAATAAACACAACAGTTAAAGGGAAGCTAAGTAGACAGGTAGAATAAGACTATGACCTCATTTTGCTTTGTTAATACTACCTAGGATTATATTAGATGTATAGATTCATATACATTGAAGCCAAACCCTCAGTCTCTTTTTTATGTCTGATGTTGCTAATTTTTATTACTCTAGTTCTATACTTGTACTCTTGGCTTTTTAAACCACACCAGATGGATGTGTAATTATTCCTCTACAAGTTCAAGTTGGCCAAGGACATTTCCACCAACTCTGCAGAATATGTACAGTCCCTCCTAGCTTTTGAGACCCATGACTTGCTCTTTATGAATCCTAAGTGCTTACAAACCATCTGAGCAATAGTCTGAGGCCACTATCCAATTTTTCAGTCTATAGTTTGCAGCAGCTGTCTTTTGCCTTTCTACAATGTCCCACTGCTCACCAACAGCAGTAACCAGTCTTATCTTCAGACTTTCTCAAAGGCCTCAGGTCAAGAGAGGGTGAAAACCTATTTCTTCCTCCAGTAAAAAGTCTCATTTGACTTCACTTTCTGCACCCATATACTGTGCCTCTTATTTGAGTTCTGATTCTCTCACCTAACAATTCCCAGGCCTGACTTGTTCAACTATAGCCATTTCAAAAACATTTAATGTCAGTGTACCAAGAATAGAGTCAACTGCAGGTTGCAATAGTAACAGGAACAGAGTACTTTATCATTGGGCTCCCTTGCTTAAGTGAGGCTTAGTATTTCAAGATAGAGTGTTGGCATGCAAATATCCACTCAAAATTGATTTTAGTTTTTTAACAAAGGACTGTCAAACTGTTATGAAAGCTCACTGTCTCTTTGAGAGTTATATGTTTACACATCATGCAGCAATAACAAGAGGCTTCCTGAAAACAGAAATGCAGGCATTGTACTCTAGGGAAATGTATATAGTAATTGTGTCACTAACTGAGGTATACAGGCAGCAAACCAAGAGAAAAGACAAAATATGTAAAAACAAGGGAATTAGAAATATAAAGTAGGTGGGGTTGTAGGTGGCTAGAATAAAACATTGTATCCTCTTCCCAGTCTTTCTTTTTTTTTTTTTTTAAATATATTTTCTTGATTTTTCATAAAGAGGAAGGGAGAGAAATAGAGAGTTAGAAACATCGATGAGAGAAAAATATGGATAAGCTGCCTCTTGCACACCCCCCACTGGGGATGTGCCCGCAACCAATGCACATGCCCTTGACCAGAACCGAACCTGGGACCTTTCAGTCCGTAGGCTGACGCTCTATCCACTAAGCCAAACCGGTTTAGGCCTCTCCCCAGTCTTGAGAAGTGATTCTAACCTTCTTTGAGAGAGAGAGAGAGAGAGAGAGAGAGACAGAGAGAGAGAGAGAGAGAGAGAGAGAGAGAGAGAGAGAGAGAGAGAGAGAGAGAGAGAGAAACTTCACTATATTGGCCCATCCCAAACAGGATTCCTCAAAATAACACTGAATGTACTGCTTACAAAACATGCTTAGAGAAGGACAGAGATTATGAAAGCTCTCAGCCCACCCGTACTAAGGAGATTACAGTATCTACCCTGGATACTATATAAGCAGTTATAAAATAAATTACAGATTTGGAAGAAATTCCTATATTATAAAATCACATATACAATGTTCTCCACAGTTATTGTTTGCATTACAATAGGTAAGAAATTATTTCACAAAAAGGAAGGGCCATTTATTTATCTAAAGAGAATGAGGAAACAACATGGCTTACAGAGTTGAAGAGGAGAAAGAGTTATCCAACTCCTTCCTCCTTGGACCCACCAATCAGGTCTGTGGAGACAACCAGTCCAAATAGCAGTTCTTATTCCAGAGATCCTGCACTGAGGGTGACGTAAGCTTGCTGGTGTGGATCTGGCAAACATACTCAGGCCCATCACCTATCTTCAGAAGAAAAATTTTCTTGCTCCTCTCTCTAAGAAAATCCTTAAAATGGGGAGAGATCAACCAAAGGACTGGTATGCATGCAATAGGCCTAACCAATGGACACAGTCAATAGGGGGAGTGAGGGCATGAATGGGGGGGGGGGTCTGAAGGGGTTGTGGGGGATAAGGACACATATGTAATAACTTAATCAATAAAGAAATTGACAAAATACTTTAAAACAACACAATCAAACTAACAAAAAAACTAAACAGGATTTTTTCCATGAGTGTTGAACTTGTGGAAACAGTATACTCCAAATTATAAAGGAAAAAAATGAAACATCTACAACTGTTAAGGTTTAATTATGTCTCCTACCAGTCAGGGTCAAACTGTACTCTCAGTATTTTTAAAACTAAAAACAAATAAACAAACAAAATGAAACAGTGATAGGTGTTTTCTTAAATAATGCTATCTGAATAATCAATTAACTCCATAAAATTTATGGAATCTCTTTACCTGAACCCACAATTGAGTATAAAGGGGCTGTCCATTTTAATAATCAAAGAACACTTCAGTATCCCAATACACAATGTCTCTCTACTTCTGGTGAGAGAGGAGCCACACAGAAACAATACAATCTCCTCTGATGGGAGCTACCTTCAGGCTTTGATTTTTACAGGACTCGTCATTTCTCTGTCCATCAACCCTACTTTTATTTAAGCTGTGGAGCCGTTTCAGCACAGTCAATTAGAATTCTATAATCTAAACTCGAAGACAGCATGCAGCCCACAAATTACCCCTGCTTACTTAACAAACGGGCTTCATGTCATTGGCAAGCAGCCCTCCATTAAATATCCATCAATAAAAACACAGCTTTAAAGCTATCTCTTAGATGAAATCTATTATTCCAAAGCTCCCCTAGGCTATAAACCTATTAACTGTGAACATAAAACAAAGGGGCCAGGAGGAGAGTATCTGACCTATAAACAGACATCATTAAAGCAGGTACCTGTCCATTTTAGCTATAATTCCTACTTGAACTTTGTGATACTCACGGGAAGGTGTAAATAAAGAACGGTAAGAGAAAGGAGTGGAAACTGCCTGAGAGGTACTCCGCACCTTGAGGTCCCCAAATCCACAGGTTGTTGGGCCACTGTGGCCAGGCAAAGGGGATTATCTGCTCCTGTTCAGGATGCTACCAGAGCAGGGGAACGTTAGGTGTCTGATGAACAACAGTGCTGCAGGTCAACACCCATAAAGACAATGACAACAGTCCCGCTTCCCACACTCACCAGCACACTTGGTTCTCGTTCTGAGGGCTGGCCCAGGAGATCCAGTGCCACCCTCCCCTGGCCTGGTGAGGAGCACGCTGATCTCGTACTCTGTATCTGGGTCCAGGTGCCCAATCTTATAACTCGGGGAGTCCACTGGCTGCCGGTCATTCCAGCTCCCACTTGCCGTGCAGTATTCCACCTCTCGGGCAATGATGGGCCCATCCCCATTGATGGAGTTGGCATTGAGTTGTATCCACAGGTAGGTTGCCCCCACTGAGGCCAGCTGAGGTGGAGCAATTGGAACTGGTGGTTCTGAAAAGCAAACCCAAGAACCATTTTTCAGACACTCTGGTCTTCAGTTTTCAAAGAGTTAAGCACAAATCAATTATGAAAATATAGAAGACATTAACATTTCTGGAATAAATGGATTAAAACTGTTTTTACTTTAAAAAAAATATTTTTACTTGTTTCAGAGATGAAGCGGGAGGAGAGGGAGAGGGAGATGGAGAAAGAGAGAGAGAGAGAGAGAGAGAGAGAGAGAGAGAGAGAGAGAGAGAGAGAGAGAGAGAGAGAAATCAATGATGAAAGAGAATCATTGATTGGTTGCCTCATGTATGCCCCCTATTGTGGATAGAGCGTGCAACCAGGACATGTGCCCTTTACTCGAATGGAACCTGGGATACTTCAGTCCACAGGCTGGTGCTCTATCCACTGAGCCAAGCAGGCTAGGACTTATTTAGGTTATTAACAAAAAGCATACTGATACAGGTTCTCACAATGTTCAAATGTGTGAAATAAACCATTTTTAAAATCTAAGCTTGCTCGAGTTGGTATATCTCCAGTTTCTTTTAGAACACTTCTCATTTTTTTCTCAGCTACACAGACTTCAAAGGATCTTCTCACTAAAAGTAACTTCTTAAAGCTCTCACAAGTGGTAGTATTTAAGCTCTAGAAGGTACTCTATTGTCAACCTCCTCACTGAGAATGTCTTTGGAATCATCAAAGGTGCTAGTTATCTTTATCATTAAATTCCACTTCCTTATATTTATAGTCACAATATCATCACTTTAAAAACAGGCTGAAATTATAACTTATTTAATCATAAATGCACAACCAGGAAGACTCGTTCCCAAGAAATGATCACAGTGGATTCATTTAGCTTCAGGAGAAGCCAACAGTGTAGACAATGAAGTCCACCCTGCTGCTGTTCTGGGTGCTTCCAGTAACGGGTTTTATTAAATCAGTGAACGGAATGGAAAGCTCTGAAGCAAAGCACAAGCTATGCCCACTTGATGGAACTCTAAGTAATCAGCAGCAAACACTCTTTACAACCCAAGAAAGTCTCTCATTAAAACCTGAGACCAACTCTTTTTCCATATGATTGTCTGAAGAGAAGAGAAGAGACAGATAACCTTGTTTTAAATAGCATTCCCCGTATATTATCCAGGGACTAGTTGAATGGCTCTTCAGGCACCATTGAAGGCATTCCATAGGCCAATGTCATTATGAGTGGTATCACACATCATATTAGGAAAGAAGGTAATTGCATAAAATACTATATTAATGAGTCTCCATATTAAAAAAAAATAAAGGTCCAGTGATTTATTTTTAAAAATATTTCTGAGGATCATTTGTGTCTCTTTGGTGTTGTTTTGCTTTCAACTCCCCCTTTAGCTCATATGAATGCATGGAAAATAAAGCACACTACATCCCATTACACTTACTCAGGCTTGCATGACACAACTTCTCTCTGCTCTGTGGCACATGCACCTAATCGATCAGTCATGTTTCCTGCTGAATGAAACTTCAGGGCAGCTAGTACTATCTGACCATGGCTTCTGAGATGATACCAGGTGATCCCTAGACTGACTAAAACACCAGCAACATCAGTTCCCTTTGCTAGGATGAGGTGTCTTTGTTCTTTTCTGTATTCAAGGTGCAATAAGTCATACTGATTTTCTAAAAGAGCTAGGGAATCTCAGTAGATGGAATCAAAATAAGACACTAAAGGATTAATTTTATTTGGTGGAATACCAAATTAGTGTAATTTACTAAAATATTGTTCCTATTGTTTATAAATTATAAGTTTGTGCTAACTTTTCATTTTTTAATGGTTCTGACTCAACTCATAATGACTTAATATCATTTTATTTCATTAGGGTGATTCATTGAAACAGGACATGAAACGGGCCTTTTATAGTAGATCATAAGACATTTATTCAGCTAGATTGAAAGAACAGTTAATTACTCTAATGTTGCAAATGCTAACAAGGATAGTTGAACTGCCATTCAAAATACAATTCAGTGGCAAGGCTACAAAGGTTAGTGAGCACACCAATTCACTTAGGATATTATCTTGTAGCCTAAAATAGACATATCTTTAATGCTGGTCCTGAGAATATTTTCTCTATTAATTCCCTATTAAGAAAAGTACCAAATATGTTAAATGAGAGATTTAACTAGAACCTGGAAATAATTGAAATAGATATTCAAAAGGAATTGTGGGTTGCTGGAAGCATCAGTACAAGAATGTCAATATTTAAATTTGAATACATTTCCCAAAGGGAAGGAAATAAAGAAGGGAAGGAGGAAAATCTATACTAAGCAATAAAAAACAATTTAAAATATTTGATTCAAATGAAAGTGAAAAGACATCATAAATAATTCTAAATCATACCAGCAATAAAAGAATTTATACACATATAGATACATGTACATATTTCTAATTGATATATATGTGAATGTCTAATACATATCTCACATAATGAAATAAGATATTTATATATGTGATATATACATGCATTTTGAAAATTACATAAAATATTTTTTGCTTGTTGATTACCAAAAGCAATGTTACTAGAGGGAAACGAGGGTGGAGGGAGGTTGAAGAGGGGATAAATGGTGATGGAAAGGAAACTTGACTTGGGGTGGTGAACACACAATATAATATACAGATAATGTATATAGAATTGTACACCTGAAACCTACATAATTTTATTAACCAATGTTACCTCAATATATTCAAGAAAAAAGAAAACAGAGCAATGGTAGATACAAATAAGATAAGAATAATAGTTAAAATGTGACCTGGGCTTCATCTGGGAAGTTGGCACCAAATCAGTGGGTGGCCATAAGAAAGTTATATACTCTATGGATTTTAGTTTTTCCCATTAAAAAAAAAAAAAAAAAAAAAAAAAAAGCTAGCACTCCAAATATTACTTGCCTATAAAAAACTATTAAGATAGATACAGGTGGCCTAAAAATGTCATTGTATCTTTTAAAGTAATCATCTCAAGGTAATACTTTATTGAACTAGTAGAATCCAGCATGGTATCTCATCCTATATAATAAAAGCATAGTATGCAAACTCTCCCCTTGACCAGGAATTCATTCGGAACTTTGACCAGGAGGCAGGGCCAGCTGGTAGAAGGGAAGGAGGCCCTGGACAGCAGAGGGGGCAGGAGGCCCTAGCCAGTGGGTGAAGACAGCAGCAGGAGGCTGGGGGAAGAGAGGGAGTATCCAGCTGGCAGCCAGCCATTGCTAGGCACCCTACCAGTGCAGGAATTTTATGCACTGGGCTTCTAGTTTTAAAGTAAAATATATGCAAAATATGGATATAAAATAGTAAATGGGAGGAAAGTCAAGTTTCAGATATGAGCCATGACTACAATCCCATTGTCACAGGCTTCCCCAGTCTGCAGGGGTTGAAACAGGCGCCAGGATATGTATATCACAATGAGTCAAGGTGCCCCTGTGCTGTCTTAAGACTGGAAAGCTTATGCTGCATAAGGGTGAACAGGAACTCTCCCACTCTGTGGGTTTGTTTGATCTATCAGAATAGAAATTTCTAATTCACTTATAACTTCCAACAAATTAGCTTTTCCACAGAGGCAGTTTTTAGAGATGTGACTTGACTCGCATCGCACTGATCCCAAAGCATGACGCCTCAAAAACACGGGCTGTGGCTGGTCACTGGGACCCTAATGTAACAACCATAAATCAGGACCAACCACAGGGAGCTAAACCAAGATGAAAATTATGGAATAACAATGACAAAAAGAACTGAGCCATGGAAACCCCGTGGCTGCTCTATTGGATGGGTTGGTAAACGGTGTCCATTTTCTACAGGAGACACCTCGCCTCCCAGATGCTCCGCAGAGTCTGGTGAGCACACATAGGAAGCGTCTCGGTTTCCTAACAGATATCTTACCTAAACTCAAACACTAGCCAGAGCAGCTCGTAAAAGATTCTCTAGAAACTAAAACACAAAATTCAGGATCTGATGTGGCAAATAATTTTCAAGCAGATATTCGGAGTGTACTTGCTGAACACTGAACACTCTGGCTGCCGATTAAGAATGCTGGAGGGAGGCTCGCCTGTAAATGTTTCTCTCATAAGCCAGTGGTGACTGGTACCGGACTATCACCCTCAAGCTTCTGATTCAACATGGATGCTGTGGGGGAGGGAAAATGGGTGGGCAGGCATTTATATATATTTTTTAAATTTGGAAAAGTCCTACTGACATCTGTCCCCAATGAAGCGCTCTCATGTACTGGAGAAGAGAGGAAGAGTCATCCTATACCTCCCCCTCCCTGTCAGGCACCAACAGGGGCTGGCTGCTTATGAGGCACCCTGATCTAAGTGCTGTTCACAGACTTTGCTTGCGGTCCTTCTAATCAAACAGGTAATATGTCTATTTTATACATGAAGGAACAGAAACAGAGAGAATAAGCTACTGGCCCACGCCCACATGGCTAGTGCAGCCTTTAAAACTGTCTGTATAAAGAAATTTCCTGGCAAAAGCAATAGCGCATTTAAAAGATATTAATGGGCCAGGACCGGTTTGGCTCAATGGATGGAGCGTCGGCTTGGGGACTGAAGGGTCCCGGGTTCGATTCTGGTCAAGGGCATGTACCTTGGTTGCAGGCATATCCCCAGTGGGAGGTGTGCAAGAGGCGGCTGGTCGATGACTCTCTCTCATCGATGTTTCTAACTCTCTATCTCTCTCCCTTCCTCTCTGTATAAAATATATTTTAAAAATAATAAAAAAAATAAAAGATATTAATGGTATGTTTCATATTTAGCAAATTTGGGGGGGGAGTTTAAAAAACAGGCATCAGTATATTCTGCTGGGATGAAACAGTAATGGTCTGCCACATGTCGTATGAATATCTCTCATGATACATCTAAAAGTCCAAATTATCCTGTCTTGGACCAAGACTTGCCTTAGCAGTTTAATAGTATAAAGTCCTCAGCTCACATACAAAAAAGCACTAAACAAGATAAAAAAAACTTATCCCTCCCCTTTTTTCCCCCTCTTTCCCAACCTTCCTGAATATAATGGCTCAATTTTTCAGTCATGCAAAATATGGTAATAGAACCTAACTGCAACATTATAAATGTTAACTCAGAATTATCAATATGACTTGTGTGATATGACTGAGCATTTTTATACTGACACTGCTTCATTTTATTAACCACCCTACTATCATAAACACCCTGGCTGGTGAATATTTGCATTTTAAGTGATTTTCTATCAGTAAAAAAATTTTTATTCCTTAAAAAAATTTATAGGTTGTAATTTCTGTATACAGAGTTGGAAGAAGAACTTGCCAAGAGCACAGTCATTGCTTCGTATGCAACTAAACCGACGTGAACAAAATACATTTTTCAAAAATATTGCTCACGTGCAAAATTTGTACTTAAAATGCAATCCATCAATATAGCCTGTCAACAAAAAAACTGTTCAGAAACATACAAGGATCATTTTGAGCTTAAAGCAAATAATGAACTCACTACCATGTAAAATATCTATTTTAACAGACTATTTGGGGGTATAAAAACACATTAAATACCTTTAACTACCAATTCAGCATAGTTTGATAGGCCGACACCTCCTTCTGTGCGAATCAGGCAGCGGTACTTTCCGGCATCTCGTTTTGTCGTATTCACAACGTTAAAGGAAGCTATGAATCGTCGGGCGCTGGTCACCTTTATTTCCTTCAGAGGAGCATCTCGTACATCAATGCCCTATGTAAATGGGGGCAGAGAAGGAAAAAAGAAACAATATCAATTGTCATATCAAAACAGCAAGACACGTGATGACGACATAGCATTGATGTGAATTCCATACAGATCTTGGTTCCATTGTTTATTGCTCACTGGCAGTTCCAGGAGAACAGATGCCAGGAAACCAAAATTCTCCTGTATCAACAATTTCAAAATTGAGGGTTGCAAAATTAAGTGTATAGACATGTCTTGTTTTTGCCCCTTCAAGATATTAATCATGTTAAATTAGCTCAACAGGAGGAGAGAAAAAGCATGTGGAAAAAATCTTTATTTTTCTCCCAAACTATCAATAGTTTTTTCATAATATGTTATCATTTTCTTGGCTGGCTAGGAAAGAAAATTAACTCACATGTTACCCTATGACTCTCCTCATTTTATATATGAACAAATAAACAATTTATGAAGAATTACATTAAAAACCTAAGTAGACATTAGCATATTCCTTCCTGTCTAGAGTTGTAGGACTAGTCCAAGCTTTATGATATTGCTCCTGAATGCACACAATCCAAGCGGAAGTATATGCTTAACATTACCTGATACTGAAATACGACAAGAACAGCTCCTTTTTGCATCCCATAGTCTCAGGACCACATAAAGCAGGTCCCACCACTGGGGCAGCTTCATCGTATACTATCCCTGATACATTCAGTGTTTCATTTGCATACTTGGAAATCCATTCTATACTGTCTATAGTTTAAAGCCCCAAAGAAGTTTACCAATTTTAGTTCTATTTTTCTATTTTTATTTTTTTTTTTACAATTATCAGGAAAGAGACTATATTTAAAATGCTATTTGTGAGTGCTAAGAGAAAACAATGCACAAAGACCTTAAAGTTAATGCATGATGCCACACACTATATCCATTTACTCACCTGGCAACCATTTTGTGGTGCCAATTCCATGCTATCATTCTGTTAAGACACTATTAGGCTCACAACAATGAACTAAAGACAAGTGGGTTCAGTTAGAGGAAGTATAGGCCTGAATACATAATCACCAATGATGGCTTAAGTACTGAAGGGACAGATCATGTGGCAGCCAGAGATCACAATGTGACCAACTTTAGGGATGGTGGCCTGGAAGGTCAGTTTGAGGAAGTGACAAGGAACTGAGATCTGAAGTAGGCAAACGGGGAGGGGACAGGAGCAGGTGAAAAAGAGCTAAAAGCCTTGGATGTAGGTAAGGCAGCCAGTAGAACCAAGGATGGAAGCAAGCATGTTTGCATTCAGGGACTTGCAGGCTATATTAAAATGCATGTGTTTATAGTTTACAAAACAACAAAACTCATCTGTGTTACTTGGTGATTTAAATTATACAAAGTCCTGTCCTAAGTGGTTTGGCTGGGCTGATAGAGCGAAGGCCTGTGGACCAAAGCGTCTTGGGTTCAATTCCAGCCAAGGGTACGTACCTTGGCTGCCGTCTCTTCCCAGTCCGGGGCTCCTGCAGAAGGCAACCAATCTATGTTTCTCTCTCATTGATATTTCTCACTGTCTTTCCCTCTCTCTAAAAAATCAATGGAAAAAATGTCCTCAGATGAGGATTAAAAAAAAATAATAATAAAAGAAAAATGAACTACTTAAAAATGAATAAAAACTTTAAAAAATTAATTATGCAAAGCCCTTAAAAGCTTTTATTTGTGATATTTTCCTTGACAGAATGTCCTAATAGATATGATTTTGGGAGTTAGACTGACCAGGGTGTCAAACCTAACTTCAAAGTGATTTATCTTCCTAGAGCCTCCCTTTGCTCATTTGTAACAAGAACATGAAACAACTCGCTTTCAGAGTTGTCATGAGAATTTAAATGTGCATTTAAGAACACTGGCTTACTGACTGGCACTACACATGAGTTCAAGAAAAAAGGCAGACAAACTCTCAAAATACCACCTTTTTACTAATGCTGCAGAATATGGCTGATGTGCAGTAACAATGGGCTCACTGATACTGAAAGCACAGAATTAAAACGACTCACCCACACAGGCACAGACTGCATTAGAAAATCACAAGGCCTCCTCTATGTTGGGAGCTGCTGTAAAAAACACGGGATGGAGGAACAGGGTTCACACAGGGAGTTAGCTCCCAAAGAAAGGGTTGGGCTGTGCATGCTCAGAGCTTCTTTCCCAAGCAGCTCCTGCCTGGCAGAGAAAAGGCATCAGGAGTGCTGCACAAGTACAGTTCCTGCCACAGGGAAGGAAACATCAGGAGTGGAGAAAAAGAGTTCCACCAACATCATGTTCAATATTATCTGTCAAAACATCTTTAGTAATAGCTTTAAAATCATAAATCAGAATGTGAAGTTATATATATGCCTTATATGACTTAGGTTTGTCTCCTAAATTTGGTCTGAAGAAGGTACCAAAAAGTTAGAAAAACAAAACAAAAAAACACAAAATTAGGCCTAGCCAGTGTACAGAGCCTCCATCTGCGAACTGAAGGGTCCCTGGTTCAGTTCCTGTCAAGGGCACATATGCCTGAGTGCCTGCTGGAGCAGCTTATCAATGATTCTCTCTCATCATTGATGTTTCTATCTCTCTTTCCCTCTACCTTCCCTTCTGAAATCAATATAAATATTTTAAAAAAACAATCTAGCGTTATTTATTACACCGTTCTTCCATGAATTCCAGACATCCAATCTATCATCCTCTCCACCAAATAAGTAAATAATCGAATTCTACCCGTAAGAGTAATATTAGACCTACTACACTATAAAATTAATTTGTCTTTCTTCAAACTGAGATAAATAAATCTAATCTCCAGTTTTGAGGGGGGAGGAGAGAATTAAGCCCTAAGGATGTAGGCAGATTTCATATCTGTAACTATTTGTTTTGTTTACTAATAACAATAACAAAAAGTGCTATCTACTTATTTATTTACTTGTGGTATGGATTTTGTCAGAATATACTTCTATAGTAATCCTGTAGCATTTTTCCTAATGAATAAGTCTATCTCAAAAGAATGTTTATTCAAAAGATTTTAAAGTATATGCTCATTGATCCCTCACAAATATTCCAACTGAACTGAGGGCACTCAAGTTTAATAAAACCTTCTTTTTGAATTTATTCATATGTTGAGAGGAGTATTGCTTCATAGTTATTATCTTCATGCCACAGATTTATCCTTTAAAATAAAAAGCTTCCAACAAACAACTCCATATTACTCTAATGAGTCACCATAATTCTCAGGAATAAGCTTCTTTTTTTATTTTTATTTTTTAAAAATCCCATGCATTTCATCACACAGAAAATTAGATTAAGCTTCTTGGGGGGAAAGGGGAGAGAGAAAGTACATAGGAAGGAGAAATCAAATGTTAACTAGCGATCATTCAAATTTAGGATCCATACCAAATCATAAATCTTGCTCAAATCTGCAGATCATTTTCTATTAAATCATTCAGATGTACAAGCATCCAAGCATTCATTCAACCAACACATAGTAAAAATGTTTTAAGATGCACATACTTGGTTAATATAAGGGAAGCACAGTTAAAAGAGCAATTCCTTACCTAACTGAATTTACAGTCTTATTAGAAAAACAGAAAGAGTAAGGCAATAGTTACAGTCCAGAGCAATGAACTGCCTAAAACAGTAATCCCAGGAAAAGAGGACCTTGCTGGAAACCAAGATCAACAATAATTAATATAAATGCAAGAAGTCCACCAGAAGGCTGAGTTTGGACTTCTTCTATAACCACAGGGTGAATTTGCATTTTATTACCTACTACTGACTCAATGGCCTAAAGCAAACTCCCCCAAACCTGATAATCTTACTGTTTACTAAATATTACCACTGATGTCTGTTTGCATTCCTAAAAGGCAATTGTGTATTCTAGTAAATAAAAGCAGCTGGGAGCTGAAACCGGTTTGGCTCAGTGGTAGTGCATAGGTTTGTGGACTGAAAGGTCCCGGGTTCGATTCTGCTCAAGGGCATGTACATTGGCTGCAGGCACATCACCGGTGTATGTACAGGAGGCGGCTGGTCGATGTTTGTCTCTCATTGACGTTTCTAGCTCTCTATCCCTCTCTCTTCCTCTCTGTAAAAAAATCAATAAAAATATATTTAAAAAAAAAAAAGTCACAGAGGAAAAAAAAAGTAGCTGGGAAAGGAGACTCAGTGGAACTTAACTACTGCAGTTAAACTTTTCCCTGGCTTATCCCCATAATTTCAAAATTAATTTTTCTTGTGTGTCAATTTGCAAGTCAGCTCTTTCTGCAAGCCTTTGAACCCAAAAGCCATGCTGGCCTTGGCTTTTCACAGGGGTGTGGGGGTTGGCTTTGCAGAAAAGCTACTTGAGGCCAGGCTTAAGGATAAATCGGTTTATCAGACACTGGCAGCAGAGAATAGAGCCCAGTGAATGAAAAAAAAAAAGCTCTCCAAGAGTCAAGAGAAGAGATCATGGGGGAAGTATAATTTATTCCACATGGCTAGACCAAAAGTGCTTCTAGGAATAGCATGTTGTGGGGTCGAACCCTGGGTTCAAAATAAGACCACCAGAGGCTGATAGATTAAAAAAGCAGGCAAGGATTTATTGAACTGGCCAGGATGGTCAAGAGAGCAATACACGCAGGTGGAATCCACATGACTGCACTGTTCCAAGTGTAGGCAGTTCTTTTAAAGGTCTAAACCACAAGAATTTTTCTTTGTTCTAAATTCTAAAGGCTAGGAACAACCCGAAGGATCATTCCCAGCCACATCCTGCTGGACATTGGAATGTGGCCCTATCTTGCAATAGCAGATAGTACAGAAGCAGAGCTGAACAGTTAAGTCTCTAAAGGTTATCTACAGTTTCTACTCCTGAAGCTACTGAGTCAGTGGGAATCAATCTCCTGTGGTCCTAATCCACAGGCACAGGAAAATTACCTTAGCTTCCAGGTCTCAATCTGGAAGCTGAGGCAACTACCCTATTGTTTAAGCAAGTAAACAAGTGCTAAAGTCAGAATAGAAGGGTTAATATTCAAACAGCAGTT